GACCCCTGCCCCTCCCCTCGTGGCCGACCTGCGTGGGCTGACGCCGCCTTCGGCGCCGGCTAGGTGCATCGCCGGTGGCCGACGTGACGAGCGGCGAATCGACGTGGGATTGCAGTCGACAGGGGAGGAGCAGGTGGAGGAGCAGCAGCCGACAAGAGAGCCGGCTGCCGTGAAGCCGACCACGGAGCAGTCGGCGACTGGGCCGTCGGCAGGGGAGCCGACCACAGGGGAGAAGTCGGCTGGGAAGCCGGCCGCAGTAGAACAGCCGGCTGGGACGCCGACTGAGGAACAGCAGGACGCCGAGGGCAGCGACGACAGCGACGATGGAAGGGACGTCGAGGAGGTCCAGCAGGGACCACGTCGTTCAGGCCGACTTCGGAGGCCGCCTGACTTCTTCGTCCCCGCTGCCTTCACCACGGTGTATGACGTGCACAATAATGACGACCTGCTGTACGACGACGCCGAGGAGGATGAGGAGTTTCCGGAGCTCGACCCCGACATGCTAGCCGACCCCGAGCACCGTTGGGACATCTCGACGATGACGGTGAAGGAGGCGTTGGCGAGCTGGAAGGGCCGGCGGTGAAGGCCGCCATGGAGGAGGAGATTCGCAGCCTCATCAACATGGGCACTTGGGAGCTGGTCGAACGCCCGCCGGGGGTGAACGTCATGAAGAACCGGTGGGTGTTGACGACAAAGTACCACATCGACGACACCGTCGAGCGAGAGAAGGCGAGGCTGGTCGTGAAGGGCTTCACACAGGTGTATGGCGCCGACTACGACGAGACGTTCGCGCCGGTGAGCAGCTACGTCACGTTGAGGATCTTCCTCAGCATCGTCGCTGTCCTCAACCTCAACCTGATGCAGCTCGACATGAAGAACGCCTTCTTGCAGAGCAAGCTCGACCGGGTGCTGTACATGTCTCAGCCGGACTACTTCAACGATGGAACCGGCCGGGTATGTAAGCTGCTGAAGAGCCTGTACGGGCTGAAGCAGTCGCCGCTGTTGTGGTACTTGGCGCTCAACGATGTGCTGGTCGGCGCCGCGTGGAAGAAGAGCCAGGTCGACGAGGCTCTCTACTTCAAAGTAAGCGAGGATGGAGTGGCCTGCTGGGTGCTGGTCTACGTCGACGACCTGCTTGCCGCCAGCAGCAGCACCACGATGCTGAAGGAGCTGAAGGAGCTGCTGGAAGCTGCCTTCGAGCTGCGCGAGATCTCGCCGGTGCAGAAGTATCTCGGGCTGGAGATCGTGCGCGACAGGTCGGCGGGGAAGCTGTGGCTGCACCAGCAGGGCTACGCCGACAAGCTGCGTAGGCGCTTCCTCGACGAGGAGGAGACCGGGCGCACCCCAAAGACGCCGGTCTCGGTCGGTGCCTACGCCGAGCTCACCTTTGATGATGAGGAGGCGCAGGAACGGCAGGAGGAGGAGTACCGGCAGAAGGTCGGCTCGTTGCAGTTCGCGGCGACGACGACGAGGCCGGACATCGCCTTCGCCTGCAGCAAGCTGGGGAGCGGCCTCACGGTGAGGAGCGACCAGCACTGGCGCGAGGTCGACCGCTGCCTCGCCTACCTCGCCAACACACGTGACACTGCCCTGGAGTTCGGCGGTGGACCTAAGTCACTGGAGCTGGTCGGCTACGTGGACGCCGACGACGCTGGTGATAAACAGAACAAGACGAGCACAGGTGGCTACGTGTTCGTCTATGGAGGGGCTGCAGTCTCCTGGTCGAGCCAGCGCATCAAGTGCGCGACGTTGTCGTCGACCGAGTCGGAGTACGTGGCGGCCACTGAAGCTGGCAAGGAGGGACGCCGCCTTCGCTTCCTCCTCGCAGAATTCCGGCAACTGGACGCCGGGAAGCCAGAATTCAGGCGAGAGAAATGCAGTCGTCGGCGGCTGCAGGCTCCTCACATGGTGACGGCGGTGGGCTGTCGCCGATGACGGCGTCCCAGGTGACGGCAGGTGGGATTGCATCGAGCTACGGCTACTTCAAGTTTACGAGCGCCCGAACCGCCGAGCGCCCGAACCGCCGAGCAGCCGAACCGCCGAGCAGCCGAGCCGCCCGAACGCCGAGCCGCCCAACCGCCGAGCTGCCCAGCAGCCAAGCAGCCGAGCAGCCAAGACGCCGAGCAGCTAAGCCGCACCGCAGCCGAGCCGCCTGACCGCCGAGCCGCCGAGCCACCGAGCAGCCGAGCCGCCCGACCGCCGAGCCGCCTGACCGCCCCACTTGCCTGGTAAGAGCATAGTCTCTACCACTGCACAGCCCTGCCCTACTGTACTCACTACCTGTCTACTGCTGTTATGGCCTCCCCTAGCATTCTCACCTTTGACGCTAAGGGTCGGGCAGTGCACTTTGAGGTCTCGGTAGATGATCTGCAACTTTTCCTGCAGTTTGATAGGGCAGACGGCCTCTCCCTGTTTGACCTCACTTCTGGTGCCTCTCCTGCCTCTGCTGCTGATGCTGATCCCACTGTTCGCTTACAGTGGGCCACGCGCAATGCTGCTGCTCGCCTTGCTGTGCGCCGCCACTTACCGACCACTGAGCGTGCACACTTTAGCCAGTACAAGAGTGCACAGACCTTGTACGACGCTGTAGTTGCACGCTACTCTTCCCCTGCCCCTGCTGCACTGAGCCGCCTCATGCTACTGTGTCAACGGGAGTTGGGTATTGGCCCCGTCCTCGCTTGGGCGGAGCCGACTTCGTGGTCGGGTGTGAGGGGAGCAGCCGACCTGTAGCAGTGGGTGAGCTGGTCGACGAGGAGGTCGACCTGCACGGGGGACCACTACACGGGCGCCGACTTCAGGGTGGCGCCGACTTCAGGGAGGTCGTCTTGGAGTTGGGTATTGGCCCCGTCCTCGCTTGGGCGGAGCCGACTTCGTGGTCGGGTGTGAGGGGAGCAGCCGACCTGTAGCAGTGGGTGAGCTGGTCGACGAGGAGGTCGACCTGCACGGGGGACCACTGCACGGGCGCCGACTTCAGGGTGGCGCCGACTTCAGGGAGGTCGTCTTGGGAGTCGACCTGCGGAGGACGTCAACTTGGCGAAGCCGACTTCGGCGGTCGGCTAACGGACTGCTAGTCGACCTGTTAGTGGTCGACTGGACTTGGTGGTCGACGAAGGAGGGGCCGACGTCGACCTTGACTCAGGGCGCCAAGCAGGAAGACGCCGAGCAGGAGGACACCGCCCTGGAGGCCTGGTTGGCGTCCCGTACGTCTGCACGGCGTCCGGGGTCCGGACGCCGATCTGGGCGTCGGGTCCCGACACCGACCTGGGTGTCTAGTCGGCGTCCTGGGAGGAGGGACGCCGCTCTGGAGGTGTGGTCGGCGTCCCGGGCGTCTGGACGCCGACCAGGGGGTTCAGAAGGCGTCATGGGCGCCTGGACGCCAGACTGGGGACGCCGGGCATGCGTGACCGGCTACGGACTGCGTGAGCCGACCAGGCGTGGTTGCCCGGTCGATCGGGATACCCGGGCGACGTGCGCGAGTGTCGCCAGGGTGGAGACTGCGAGGCCGACCTCGGGGGTGGTATCCCGAGGTCGACGTGGCTGGTGGGCACAGTCGCTGGCGTGGAGTCTGCCAGGCGTCTGCGTTGCGCACATGACAGGGAAGTGCGCACCAACCAGCTGCGCGCACCTGCGAAGCAGGTGCACCGTTGTCCTGCGGGTGCAACGCTGGGCAGCCGACTTGGTGCAGCGCTGGCACACCGTGGACTTGCAACGTTGGCGAACCGCTACCCTGCTACGCTGGAGCGGTGCGAGCGCTGCTGCGCTGGAGTGCGGTCGACTGTGCTGCGCTGGAGGTCGACCAGCAGCCTAGCTAGCTCTGATGTAGTCAATGTTGCCAATGTTGTTGCTACCATTGTTCTGAACTTTTCCTAGTGAAACTCTTGCCAATTTTCCCCGTGAACTAGCAAGTAGTGTGTGCACAAGGAAAACGACTAAGGACTAACAAACGCAGAGATCACACGAGCACACGTGCCTAGCCCGTAGCCTAGCTCCCGTTGCTGCAGTTATCTCCGCATGGTGCGGTGAGCGTGGATCGAACACGCGACGTAGTTCAGTCTAGCCGACTTAGCACATACCGATCGTGTTCATAGACCGGCAGCCGTGAAGTCACTAGCGTGCGCGTAGGCGACGCCGAGGTGATGGACACCCTGGAGGGACGGCTGGAGGATGCGAGGAGACGCCATGAGGCCCAGGAGTATGGGGCGATACCCTGGGCAGTCGTCGAGGCCGGACTCCGCTCCGTGTGGGCGGCGGAGCATCCCCCTTCTCGACCTGCCTCTCCTCGACCGGTGAACAACGACGGCGGCGTCGATGTGGGCGTCAACGCCGGTGGAGGTCAGGTCGGCAGCAGTGTGGGAGGCACGTCGAGGCAACGAGGTGTGATACACGCCGGTGAAGCCGGCGACGTTCAGGCGAGAGGGATGCAGTCGTCGGCGGCTGCAGGCTCCTCACATGGTGACGGCGGTGGGCTGTCGCCGATGACGGCGTCCCAGGTGACGGCAGGTGGGATTGCATCGAGCTACGGCTACTTCAAGTTTACGCCGGACAGGATCTCGGTCACCCCTCCGCTGGTCGGTCGACCCAACATTCTCACCTGGAAGGAAGCCATCGAGCCCCAGCTGGAGATGGCCGGGCTGATCGGCGTCGCCCGAGGGACCGTGGCGACGCCGAGTGAGCACCACCCCGACCTGCGTGCGGAGTTTCGCGCCGTGCAGCTGTTGACCTTCACGGTCATCTCGCGGTGCTGCTCGCCGGGCGTGCAGATCGCCTTGAAGTGGTGCCGGGAGTACCTCGACGCCGGCCACTGGGCGTGGCACTTCATTGAGTCGACGTACCAGGTCACTGACGACCTGTTCATCGCCCAGCTGGAGGGACAGCTGACACACTTGCGTATGGGCGACGAGGAGAGTGCGACCGACTACTGCAACCGAGCCAGGCGAATTCTCGCCACCATCAGGATGGCCTCATTACGCACCTCCGCACTAGTGACACTCGCTACCGCGATGCGCTTCCTGCTAAGTTCTGCGCCAAGAACCCCCCCCCCCCCCCCCCCCCATTTACATCACCCTCTACTACATAGTCACCCGGCTCCCTGACTCTCTCCGCATAGTCAGGGACCACTTCCTCTCAGTTTGCCCCACCACTCTCACCGTTGACCTCCTCGAGAAAGCCCTCCTAGCGATAAAGAAGAGCATAGTCGCTGTAGGAGCCTCTCGTCGTGACCCTCGTACCCCCGTCTTTGAGGGGTGTTCTCCCTCCCCCCTCTTGCCCTCTGTTGCCTCTTCTGCTGCGGCCGACCTCGTTGGTTTCAAGTCGGTCGGCGCTGCGTCTGCCCCGAGCGGGAAGCGCCGCACCGGCAGGGGCAAGGGGGGCAAGGGCACTGGAGGGGCTGGAGGGGGCGGTGGAGGTGGTGGTGGAGGCAGTGGAGGGAGTGGGGGTAATGGTGGGAGTGGTGCCACGGGTGGCGGCGGTGGCGGCAGCAAAGGAGGAGGCGGAGGCTGTGAAGGTGGCGGAGGGAGCGTAGGTGGCGGAGGTGGCGGAGAAGGCGGAGGTGGAGGAGGCGGCGGAGGCGGCGGTGGCGGTGGTGGCGCGGGTCGCGACTCTGCGCAGAGGAGTGGCGCCAGTGGTGGTCAGCGCCAGCAGCAGCGGAGTGGTGTGACCCTGTCCCCTTAGCAGCTTCGTGAGTGGTACACTGCGCGTCAGCGCGGAGGGGGTTTTGGTCCCTGCGCTTACGTCCTTCGTACCGGCGACTGAGCTGGTGAGCAGTGCGGAGGGCCGCACTCCACCCAGCGTTGCTTTGGTCGCCTGACGGACGCGTGGCGTTGCCAGTTCCCTGAGGCGTCAGAGATCCCTCGCTGGGGAGATCTGTCTAAGGCCGGGGTTGCTATCTTTGATGCTATCCTTGCTGCCATGTATGCTGTTGATACTAGTGTTGAGGGTGCCTATTACCTGTGTGTACCGCCTGACCCGGGCATTGAGGCCGCTGCTCTAGGTACTGGTGAGGCTGCTGCTCTAGGTGCTAGTGCGTCTGCTGCCCCAGGTGCCAGTGCGTCTGCTGCCCCAGGTGCCAGTGCGTCTGCCGCCCCAGGTGCTGGTGAGTCTGCTCTCTCAGGTACTACGTTGGCTCAGGTCTTCCACACCTTCACCCTGGACTCGGGTGCGTCCCGCTCCTTCTTTCGAGACTGCACCACTCTTACGCCGCTCAGTTGGCCGGTTGCAGTCTCCCCGGTAGACCCCTCTGGGGGTCCTGTCTTTGCTAGCTTCTCCACTGTCCTACCGTGCCCAGCAGCCCCCTCTGGCACCCTGTCTGGTCTCTACCTCCCCTTGTTCTCTATGAACTTGGTGAGTGGAGCGGACCTACAGAATAGGGGGGTTGACCAGTTCACTCTTGCGAGTCAGCAAGTGACCCACTGCACGTGTGCTCGGACAGGCCGACACTTGGCCACATTCACCCGTCGGCCAGGGTCGAGCCTGAACACCCTTTCTACCAAGTCTCCTCCTGCTGCTGAGTCTGCCCAGGTAGCTGCGTCGAGTCAGGTGTTTGCTGCGGCGTCCAGGTCTGGTCATGAGTCTGCCCCATGCTCGTGTTGTCTGCTGTCCCACCAGACTCTCCTTTGGCACCACCGCCTTGGTCACCTCTCCTTGCCTCGTCTCCGAGGCATGGCCTCCCGTGTCCTTGCCCTGTCAGGTGTGTCCCAGGTTGACGCAGTCGAGCCTGTCGAGGTAGCTTTTGACTCTGGTGCTGCTAGAGGTGCTGAGCCTGCGGGTGCCGGGTCTGGGGGTGCTGAGTCTGGGGGTGCTGAGACAGGGGGTGCTGAGCCTGGGGGTGCTGAGTCTGGGGGTGGTGAGCCTGGGGGTGGTGAGCTTAGGGGTGCTGAGCCTGGGGGTGCGGAGCCTGGGGGCGCTGGGTTTGCTCGTGTGGCCGCCAGCGGTGCTACGTTGAGGCGGGAGCCGCTCTCTCCACAGGAGCTGCGCGAGTGGTTTGCCCGCCGCTGGAGACGTGCTGCTGCGACTGGGGGTGCTACTGGGGCTCCTAAAGTTGGTCCTGCTGGAGCTACTGGCGGTGCTGGTGTTGCTCGAGCTGGAGCTGCTGGGGGTGTTGATGCTGGTGTTTCTACTGGCGCTGGTGCTTCTGGGGGTGCTGCTGAGGCTGCTGGAGCTGACGGTCCTACTGGAGTCGGTGCTGCTGGAGCTGGAGCTGCTGGGGGTGTTGGCGCTGGCGATGCTACTAGCGCTGATGCTTCTGAAGGTACTAGAGTTGGCGCTGTTGGAGATGGAGGTTCTGCTGGCACGAGTGCTGCCGCTGGTGGTACTGGTGCCATCCTTGCTGGTTGTGGAGGCACTGAGCGGCCGAGGCCGTACTTCGTTCCGCTCCTAGAGCAAGTTCTTGGTCTCCCGCCCTCTCCTGTACCTGCTCCTCCCTTAGCGTGTCCACAGCCTGTCCAGTCGCAGTCACAGCTACAGCCCGCCTCCCCTCTTCCTGCTCCTTCTCCCTGGAGCTAGAGGTACTACTAGAGGTCTTGCTGAGCGTTGTGAGCCTTCGTCTCGTCCTGCGTCGCCGGTTCGTGCTGCGCTTTCGCGTCCTCCTGCGGTCCCTGGCACTGCGTCCTTCCACTGCTCCTCTGCGTGTCCCGTTGCCGTCTCCTCCAGAGTCCTGTCTTCCTTCTCTTGCTGATACGGAATCTGACTCCCTTCGTGCTGCTAGTCCTTCGGTCACGCGCCTTCTTGCTACTTTTATCACTGACCCTTCCTTTGAGTCCACTGCTGCGTCTGCTCTAGTTGCTGAGCTTGTCGACTTCGCTGCTCGCTGTCGTCTAGACTACGCTGCCAGTCTCGTTGCTGAGTCTGAGTCTTTCTGTCCTCCGTCCGTCGGGGGTGAGTGTGCTCTTAGCAAGGACGTCCTTGAGGACAGGCAGGAGGAGTTCGAGTGCTTTGATGCTGCTTTGCCCCATCTCGAGTCCACGACGATTGCCCCTGAGGGAGACCCGGATGCACCAAACATCCCGACTCCTCGATCGTACGCTGAGGCGATCGAGGGTCCTTACTCGTCTCAGTGGCAATCAGCCATGGACGCAGAGATGGCTTCCTGGAAGTTTACAGGCACCTACGTTGACGAGGTTCCCCCACCTGGGGCGAACATCGTCAGTGGCATGTGGATTTTCAGGGTGAAGCGGGTGTTGCACTACGTGTGCAGTACGTCAGGCATGGGGCTAGTGCTAGGAGGGCGACGTCGAGTAGTCCTCACAGGTCACGCTGACGCTTCTTGGGCTGACGACTAGGCTACGTAGCGGTCGTCACAGGGTTACACCTTCAGCCTTGGAATCTCCTCGTGCAGGCTGCCCTGCAGGAAAGCTGTGCTGAAGTCAAGAGAGTGAAGCTCGTAGTCGCGCTGAGCGGCTATGTGCAGCAGCACCCGAAGAGTGGTCATCTTTGGGGTGGGAGAGAAGCTATGAAAGTAGTCAACTCCCTGCCGCTGACTGAAGCCTCGAGCCACGTAACGCGCCTTGAAGACCGGGAGAGAAGCCGGCGGCTGCTTCACCCTGAAAATGCACATGCCACTGACGATGTTTGCCCCAGATGGGGGAACCTCGTCAACGTAGGTGCCTGTGGACTTCCAGGAAGCCATCTCTGCGTCCATGGCTGACTGCCACTGAGAGGAGTAGGGACCCTCGATCGCCTCAGCGTACGATCAAGGAGTCGGGATGTCTGGTGCATCCGGGTCTCCCTCAGGGGCAATCAGCGTGGACACGAGATGGGGCAAAGCAGCCGCAAAGCACTGGAACTCCTCCTGCCTGTCCTCAAGGACGTCTGTGCTAAGAGCACACTCAGCCCCGACGGACGGAGGAGAGACAGACTCAGACTCAGCAACAAGACTGGCAGCGTATTCTAGACGACAGCGAGCAGCGAAGTCGACAAGCTCAGCAATTAGAGCAGACGCAGCAGTGGACTCAAAGGAAGGGTTAGTGACAAAAGTAGCAAGAAGGCGCGTGACCGAAGGACTAGCAGCACGAAGGGAGTCAGACTCCGGGTCAGCAAGAGAAGGAAGAGAGGACTCAGGAGGAGACGGCAACGGGACACGCAGAGGAGCAGTGGACGGACGCAGTGCCATCTCGTGTGTGCCGGGGACCGCAGGAGGACGCGGACCCGCAGCACGACGACTAGTGCGAGCAGCATAAACAGTCGACGCAGGACGAGACGTAGGCTCACGACGCTCAGCAAGACCTCCAGTAGGACCAGTGTAGGGAGAAGGAGCAAGTAGCGGGGAGGCGGGCTGTAACTGTGACTGCGTCTGGACAGGCTGTGGACACGCTAAGGGAGGAGCACGACCAGAAGAGGGAGGGAGACCAAGAACCTGCTTCAGGAGCGGAACGAAGTACGGCCTCGGCCGCTCAGCATCTCCAGAACTAGCAAGGACGGCATCAGTACCCCCAGCGGCAGCACCAGCGCCAGCAGAACCTCCAGCTCCAACAGCGCCAACTCCAGCACACTAAGCACCAACGCTAGTACCACCGCCAGCGCTAACACCCCCAGCAGCTCCAATACCAGTAGGACCGTCAGCACCAGCAGCCTTAGTAGCACCACCAGACGCACCAGCACCAGTAGAAACACCAGCGCCAACACCCCCAGCAGCTCCACCTCCAGTAGCACCGGCACCGCCAGCAGCTCCAGCAGGACCAACTCCAATAGCTCCACCAGCACACCTTGTCTCAGCAGCACGTCTCCAGCGGCGGGCAAACCACTCGCGCAGCTCTTGTGGAGAGAGCGGCTCCCGCCTCGACGAAGCATTGCCGGCGGCCACACGAGCAGACCCAGCACCCCCACGCTCCGCACCCCCTGGCTCAGCACCCCAAGGCTCAGCACCCCCACACTCAGCACCCCCAGGCTCAGCATCCCGAGTCTCATTACCCCTAGACCCGGCACCCGCAGGCTCAGAACCTTCAGCAGCACCAGAGTTAACAGCTACCTCAACAGGCTCGACTGCGTCTACCTGGGACACACCTGAAGGGGCAGGACCCTGAGGAGGGAGGGGGTCTACCTGGGTAGCACTTGGCGCAAGGAAGAGCGGCGGCGGGGGGAGGGGCGCAGTGCGGTAGGGGAAGAGACGGTAGTAAGGCACCGATTCGCCAAAGGTGACGTCCTGGGAGGACAGAACACGGCGCGTGGTGGGGTGGTAAAACCGCGAGCCAGGTGCGTCGAGGGGGAAGCCAAGGAAGACGCAAGGAACAGCACGGGGGGACAGCTTGTCCGCAGACAAGTCGTGGACAAACGCCCGAGATCCCCAGACCCGAAACGCAGACGCATCGCCAACCTTCCCTGTCCACCGCAAGGCGGGGGAGGTCTCTGGCAAGGAGACCCAGGGCTGAAGGTTGAGCTGATGCGCGGCGTACTGAACCGCAAACGGCCACTGAAAATGGGGAGCAGCCGCATGCATCATGGACGTACGCGCGACGTCCATGACCATGCCAATGTGGCGATCAGCAATCCCATTTTGCTATGGAGAGGCCGGAAGCGTGAAGGTCTGGCGGATGCCCTGTGCCCGACAGAAGGCTCCCAGACAAGCAGAGGAAAACTCCCCGCCTCTGTCCGAGTGCAGACGCAAAACAGGAAAGTCCGAGCCGAAGCTCTGCCTGAGCTGGAGACGAGCTGCGCGGATCCAGTCGATCAATACCTCAAGTACATCACCCTTGCTGCGCAAGGGGAAGGTTGTGGTGTAACGCGAATAGTCGTCAACTACCAGCAGGAAGTAGCGCTCGTGACCTTGTCCTCGGACGCGGGCCGGGCCCCACACGTCCATGTGAAGCGTCTGCAGCGGGGCCTCTGTCGGAGGAAACTGGGAGGAGTGAGGGGCAGCCCGCTGCTGCCCCTCGATACAGGGGACGCAGGTAGGGCCAGGCCCGGGAGGAAGGGGAGGGAGGGACCGGGGAAGACCAGAGACAAGGACACGGGAGGCCATGCCTCGGGGACGAGGCAAGGAGGGGTGACCAAGGCAGTGGTGCCAAAGGAGAGTCTGGTGGGACAGCAGACGACACGATCAGGGGGCAGACTCAAGACTAGACCTGGACGCCGCAGCAAACACCTGACTAGACGCAGCTACCTGGGCAGACTCAGAAGTAGGAGGAGACTCAGCAGTAAGGGTGTACAGGCTCGACCCTTGCCGACGGGTGAACGTGGCCAAGTGTTGGCCTGTCCGAGCACACGTGCAGTGGGTCACTCGCTGACTCGCAGGAGTAAACTTGTCAACCCCTCGATCCTGTAGGTCCACTCCACTCACCAAGTTCGTAGAGAACGAGGGGAGGTAGAGACAAGACAGGGTGCTAGAGGGGGCTGCAGGGCACAGAAGGACAGTGGAGAAGCTAGCAAGGACAGGACCCCCAGAGGGGTCTGCCAGGGAGACTGCAACCGGCCGACGAAGCGGCGTAAGAGTGGTGCGGTCTCAAAAGAAGGAGCGGGACGCACCCGAGTCCAGGGTGAAGGTGTGGCAGGTCTGAGGCGACGTAGTACCTCAAAGAGTAGACTCACCAGCACCTAGGGCGGCAGACGCACTGGCACCTGGGGCAGCAGACGCACTGGCACCTGGGGCAGCAGACGCACTAGCACCTAGAGCAGCAGCCTCACCAACACCTAGCACAGCAGACTCAATGCCCGGGTCACGCGGTACACACAGGTAACAGGCACCCTCAACACTATCAGCAACAGCATACAT